TTATTCTATATGCATAAGTTTCTTCCAGAGGGTTCGCTGACATTGAGAAATGGTTACAATAGTGAGAATGGTGTCACCGTAAATGTGGAATGGCTTCGAACACCACAGGACTCCTGTTACTATAGAATTCAGCTGAACAATAGTACTTCTGTAGTGAACAAGGATATTATACTGGTTTGTACTTTTTTCCATGATTTTCAGGGTTAACCAACTAAGAGTAATCTTTTTAGGACTCTTCCGCATCAGTTCTGATGCCACATCTCGAGTTTGAAACCGAGTATACTGTAAGCGTTATTGCCACCTCGGCTGATAAAAATCAGATGAGCAAGCCACTGTTGGGAAATTTCAAATCAATAAGATGTAAAGATGTGCATGGACAGGGCAGTATTCAGTGTGGTAAGTGATTTGATTCAGAGCTTCCGAATTTCGGCTATCTTCTTCAGTTCCCGAGCCAGTGCTAAATTTGTCTGTCGTTTTGCGCCCTAACGGGACAGGAGTCGTTTCGTGGATCCCTTCGGCCGAGCAGGAAAATATACTGTTCTACCAAATAATTTATTATGCTCTACAACATGAGAATGGTTGTCAAACCCGTCATGAGGCACTGAATGTCAAAGCTGTGAGTTTAACGTCATGAGTTTGGTATTGCATCTGCGTCCGTCACCGTATACTAACCGTATAGGCTTCCACATCTGTCACCGTCGACTTCGCTGGTCAGCGCTGTGAGTACGTCGTTCGCCTTGTCAACTACGACCTCATCGGACGAGATGCCGTGGCCGAGATTCGCGTGCTTGTCGAACACGAAGCTCCAACACCTCGGCTTGATGTGATGCTTCAATCTGAAGCTGTTATTATTCCCATAGCACTGGTGCTATTTTTCTGCCTCTGCATGACCATACGATGCTTCTGCAATCGAAATTGTCCGAGTATAGACCCAGAAAAACAAGAGAAACTCCATAGTTTTGTGTAAATTCTAAATTTTGTAGAGGTTTTCTTTGATCTGACGGGTCTGTTTTTATGCTTCCACTTTTCGAAAGTGCCTTTACGCCGGTATGTGATCTCTGTTTCAAATTACTCCCATTGTATATATTGTCATGCGTGTGATTCTTAGAATTATAAAATATTCTTCTTATTGTTATGAGTAACGTGAGACTGTTTGTTTTGGTAAAGGAAAAGATCTGAGTGGGTCACTTAATCAGGAAGATGT